GATTAACAATCCCTGTCCCCCGGTCAACGTCCCCATCTGCCTCAGTGAGAGAACAGGTTCGAGAGGATGGCTTTTTGTAAGCTCCCCAGGTTCAGAGCACCCCTTTCCTTCAGCAGCTGGTCCCTTCAAGAAGCAACAACTCCATTTACTAATACGAAAGGGTAGYAACTTTAAAAGTTGGTGCTTAACTGGGTGTTTTTGCTGATATGAACTTTGTGCAACAGCTTATGCCACCACATACAGAGTTCAAATAAGTCTGTAGCATTCTGGGAGAAGACCTGCCCCAAAAATGCAGAGTAAAACTGGCTAGCCCAATTGTGAAACACACAATTGTCCCAGGCAATTTAAAGTTGGCTCTCAAGCTTTCTGAAGACCCACTGATTGCATTTTCCGTGCCTGCACAAGTGCTGCTGGGAAGAGGTGCGCAAGATGCCGGACTCCAGCTCTTCGGAGTCCTGTCCTCTCCCTCTGGCTGGGAGCTGGGAAACCAAGACCTCTGTGGTGCACCAAGACCTCAGTGGACAGAGCCCTAAGCAGGACATCAGCCTGCAAAGCCTTACTGCTCTTACTGGTCAGCAAAAGGAACTYTCTCTTGTCCATAAGGTCAATGCAGACACCGTTTCACACCCACATAATAAACATTTGTGCAATAYGGAGAAGGTGTTAGTAAGGGATGGTGGGGTGATGACAAAGGGAAGGAAGGGAGTCACTCATTTGTAGCCATGTAAATATTATTTTTAAATAAAGAGAGCTTTTGAAAATGTTATTAGGCAAACAAGGGAATAAAGTAAAAATCTGAATTGCTGACTGAAAAAAACCCACATGCAACGTGCTTGTAATGTTGAGCGATAACCTAATTCAATCCTAGCAGGTTTCTTTTAATAATTTTGATACTCAGCATAATAACCACAGATTTTAAAAAGAAAAAAAAAAATTAAGGAAAAAAACCCACCCGTTCTAATCAGCCCAGACTTTGGCGCCTTGGGGTGCATTTCAATCGCTCCCATGCCCACGATGCCTGAGGCAATTCTCCTGCTTAATAGGCATTTTCCACAACACACTGTGAAATGATAATGCTAATTATCACGAAGATAGATTTGAAGCCCTCTCTCTAGGGCACCGCGCCTTGAAATCAGGCGGCTTTCCCTCGCCTCTCGCAGTTGCCATTGACCGGCGCAGCGCCCTTCCCTCTGYCCCGGCTGCCGGCAGCGCTCCGCTCTCACCTGATGGTAAATCGCCTCCCAGTTCTCCCGCAGCGCTCCCCAGCTGCCCACGCTGGCCGCCTTCTTGTCCAGATAGACTCTGATGTGCTCCTCCAGCTCCTGGTTGACCTGCTCKAGAGCTCGCACCTTCTCGATGTACTCCACCAAGCAGCCATTCAGGCTTTCGTAGGAGAGACCCCTGCTCTTATCCAGCCCCGGGGCCAGGGGCACGGCGGCGGCGGAGCTGCGGAGACCCTGGAGGAAGACGCTGCTGATGCCCAGGGCTCTACGGGACACTCGGGTGCCCAGGCTGCTCACGCCGCCGGTGGGAACGGTGCCCACGTAGACGCCGGGGGGTCTGGACAGGCTCCCTCCGCCTCCGACGCTCACCCGGCGGCCGGGCGGCCCCGAGCTCTCCGCCGTGGAGGTAGAGGGCTGCTGCCCCAGGAAGGACGACCGGCGCCTGGGCAAGGGCATGTTGTCGCTCCAGCGTGCCGAGCACCGCCGCTCAGCCCGGCCGCCTCGCCCCGCACTGGCGGGAGGGATGTGCCGAGCCCAGCAGGATGGGACCCGCGYGGGATTTCGGCTTTGTGCGACGGCTTTCTGGAAGGGGGGCTTTGTGCTGCCTGGGAGCACCCGTCACATTGTCCGGGCGGCTGCTGGGTCAGCAATCCCATTTCAGGGGAAATCTCCCTGCTGCTGCTGCTGCAAATGTGGCAGATGAAAAGCACAATGGTGTTTACGGGGACAGCGGGACGGGGATTCAGTACAATGTACGTGTTAAAATACCAGAAGTGTTTTCTGCGCTGACACCCCGATGATTTCCTACCCTTATGGCCACAGGTATACAGATATATATGACAAATGCATCTGCTTGTCACATCAGCGCTTGCTCCAGACAGAGTCCACTGCAGCAAGACATTTCCTAAACTTGGCAAAACCCAAACTTCTGAGGAATCAGCTGGGCCACAGCTCAGCAGAGCCGAGCCAGCCTTTTGCCACTGCAGAGCATCGAATGCTCACTTGGCTCAGCTGCAGTTTCTGGGTTTCTCTGCGCTTTGGCTTCACCACCCAACCAAGGCACRATCCCAGCAGATTCCATAGGGACAAGCACCCTCTAGTCCATCCCTGCTCAGTCAGTTTAACATCATATAATCAATTGCACTTTGTTCAACAAGGGCCTGTTTCACTTCTTTGCATGATGTGGTGACAAAGTGAGGTTCAAAACTATGAACCAAAAGAAAAGGGCAAAACAATTCTAGAGACCTAGGGAAAGGGAGAGACTTCCTTTGCTCTTCTTTTTTCGTCGTGTTCTCTAGCTGCCAGGGATCAGGTGGGTAGTTTATGGGTAATAATAAGTACTAATAGGATGTGTTCATGGTGCAGAGCAATCCTTCACAACACAATGTGAGGTATAGCTTTTTCTACCTACACACAGGGATGCTTCRCAGCCAGGATGCCGTTGCAGTGTGGGATTACCGTGTGCACGACTGTAATGTGCTGATGTCGGGCATTACCCTAATGTGGTGTAGGTTTGCACAGGGCAGTGGTGAGTCTTTGGCGAGACGGGATACAATCAGAAATCCCGATCTTCCACTGGTCCCTAATCCTGGCTTGCGGGGTTGATGTCTGGAGTTTGTTTCGCTGCTTTTTTAAAGTTTGAGAATTGCAAGGCTGCCTACAGTCAGGTCACCATTTCCATGTKGTGTGAAGGCTGGGAACAGTGCAGAATCTCTCAGTTTTGCAAATACCTTTGACTAGTTTAGGTATTCTGTCTTTAGATTACCAAGCTGATTAACTGTGCTGGTTAAATGAGAAGACTCCTCCAGTATTTCTTACACAACATTTTCGGTGTAGTTGCTCTGTGTCAAATTAGAAAATCTACCTTGCAAAAGTAATACCATGTACAGAAGACAAATGTAATAATATGGACCTTCTTTTTTCAAATAACTGAATTTAGTTTTCTGTAACCTTGTTTGAACTTTCCACCTGTCTTTTCAAATGAAAATGAAGATCCCTGTGAGATTGCTTTTGCTCTTGGCAATACCCTCAGGAAATTTTTACTCTCCTATCAAACAGTGGTTTCCAAGAGGCAGTTTAGTAATTGATCGTGAGGATCAGAGATATCATATTGCATAGCATTTATCCCATGGTGAAAAGATATATTCCCAGAGTGCCTATTCATGTTCACACACAGCCTTGTTGTCCTGCCTACCCCGGTCACCTTGTGAGGAAGCTCTGCATTACTCGCTGATGCTGAGCAGAACAAATATCTAGGGAGAGTCCCTGCAACGCTGCAATTTTCCAGTTTCTGGAAACGTTTGGGTTTGTGCCTCAGCACAGCAGAAGCACGTGTGTGGGGTGGGGAGAAAGRAGGAGCAACAATGCCTCTGTGGCACCCTGAGCCAAGTCTGGGTGCTACTCCATCCTTTTGTAAAGCTGTCATTTTGCTCTAACAGCAGCCCCTGGGACACTGTCATTAGGTGGGAACAGCTGGACCAGATGTGCCAYTGCTGTAAATCCCTTTTTGGTAGCTGCTGTGGCTCACCTTGAACACAACATATGGTAATGATGCTACACTAACCCTGTCCTGCCCAAACTTCCCTTTCATGCAAACAAGCATTAAACCTGAACACCAGGGGCAGGGAACAGCCAGCTAGAGCAAGGGCTGAACTGCCCCTTGCAGCCTACTCCTGATGAAGTGAGGAGTGAAAGCAGAAAATAATCCAGGAGGAATGATGGCCAGAGCTGGGAACAAGGAGGGCAAGACTTCGAAAGACAGAGTCATTTCACTTGCTGAATGATATAAAAAAGCAATTTGAGAAGCAAAACTGAATATTGGTCCCACRGTAATAGTTCTGGGTTACTCAAAGAGACAGGAACGATTTGGGCAAAGTCATTCCATGTTYCCTATTAGTCTCGCCTTGTAGCAACCTATTTTTAATCCATCATTTAAGCTTCATTCACTCTTACTRTTCCCGTGACACTATTAGAGTCTGCTATCTAGCACTTAACAGGGTAGGACAGAATTGCCATTTTGCTCTGAAACACTGTGTTTTCCTTCCTAAGGGATGAAGGAAAGCCTCAGAGAGGAGAAGAGGGTGTGAGGAAACTTGATTCAGTRGCACTAGCAGACTAAGCACAGAAGATAAATAAAATAGTGGGGAAGTGGAAATGTGGTCAAAGACACAGCATTCAAATAATGGGAGTCCCTAACCAGCAGATTTCAAGATTTCTGATAAATTCAAAGGATTTTTCTGTTCCTTTGAAGGGAGCACTCTACATACCTTCTTTTGAGGCTGTTTGATGTTCTGGAAATAATTCTARGCTTATTGGGCTGAAGTGTAGCAGCTGTGAGTCCGATGTTCAGTGTGGTTAAAACAATCATGCAGAAAAAAGGGCCATTCTTGTCCTTGCTTGCATAGAAGAGTTTTGGAGCTCAAACTGGAAGGGGGACAGTAAAGGGCTCATCCCAGTTGGTGCTCTGGCAGTACTGGAATCATGCAAAGGATACCAGACTGGCACATGAGCTGTGCAGACTGCTTCTGGCAACTGAGYTGGCCCTGTTTGGTTGGCATTCTAGCTTGGCAGCCTAAAGGAGAGGAGTAACTGAAGCAATTTTGAAGTAGGAGAAGGGACAGTCACCGAGCAGGAATGCTTGTGCCCAGCTGAGCAATCSCACGTAGGRTGCAGGATGCTGTACCCACCACACKCTCCCTGCACCAAAAGCAGCCTTCCTCAGTGTTTTTCCAGACCATGTATATTTAGCAGCAGTTTGTAAATGAGAGTGAAGCAAACAGTCCACCTGACAGGCATTTTGCTTAGAAATACCTTTATTTTATAAAGCCACAGTTTGTTCTGTAAAGTTTTACCACACTTATAAAAAAGGGGCTGACAATTCTGAGGGACAAAAGAAAAGCTGAAAACATTTCTTATAATTCAGGGTTACACAAAGGTTATATTTATAATATATATATATATTTATTTATAATTTGGAGACAGTAGAGATGAAACTGCAGTACAAGGGCAGCTGGGGGGTCATATTTCAGAGACTTGCTCGTGTCCCACAAATAGTGTTTCCTGACAGAAGGGGTTCACCAGGACCATCCCACTGTCGCGGTAGTCGCCGTTGGCCGGCGAGCGCGGCTCGGACAGGTGGTCCTGGGGGAAAAAACAGAGAAACAGTTTGAGCACTTCACACCCTTCTCCCTCAGAGCACTCCTCCCAGTTCCCCMAAGGTGCTTGGATAGTGTGGGCTGTGCCTCTGGAGATAGAAATTGGGTGAGTTTTGTTCACTCTTCATCAGGCAGGAGGAGCTGTGAGTGAGGAGTTCCTCTGAGGGTTGGCTGATTCTTTCTCAGCCAGGGGACCCAGAAGTCAGATGCACGAAAATTCCAGTCCCTTTACAGACTTGGAGCTTTTACACTGTGGTTTTTTGGTTTGTTTTTTTTTTTTTTCACTTCATTGACTCAGTGCAAGAGTTTCCTGTCTGTCAGTTGGGCCCAACTCCTCAAAGATGAATTTTCAGTTTCTTTTTAAGGTTAGAAAGACACATATATGGGTCCCAGCCACCCTAGCATGCCCTAGTTAAGTGATGTTTTGATCAGGTTTAAATGACTCAGATGACAGCTTTTGAAGACCATCCTGTATGTCACTAGGTCTGACATTTGATCCTAGACCAATTCCTGCCTTGAGCAATGTGATTGCCAGCAAAGTGGGGTTAATGAAGTGACTGTTTGTCTAATCACATCTCAGAGGCTCCTTTCTAAACCGTTTTTGAAAAATGAATTTAATTTAATCAGATGAGTTAGTCAGCTAGCTGATCTGAAAACCACTTTAGCATAAACTCAAACTCTCCACTGTTTCTAGTTTTTAAATACCTTTGAACTAAACTGAATTATTCTCTGTCCCTGAGGCCAGAGAATACATTTCCATCAGTATGATAACCTACCCATGTGTGAATAATCCCACTGAACCAGTCAGATCCCTTAAGTACAACTGATGAGTGTACACCACCACCACCACCACCCCCACCCCCACATACTGATGTTCTGATTACTTTTGTGCTGGGAACACTCATTCCCTGAACTAGCATTTAAGAAGTTATAGGCAGCTCCTGAGACATAAATGCACAAAATTTCTTTGCATTTTTAACTCCCACCATCCTCCTTCTGTGATGCCGTGTGGGACATGCACGATGGACTGACTGTCAGGGATGAGCCAGCCCAAAGGGCTCTSCTTGAGCCWTCATGGTRTGGCTTGACATTGGCTGTAGGCTCMCAAGGAAGAGAAACCCAGGAASAARTCTACCAGAGGTGGTTAATGCCCATCACCACACAGCACCGTGGAACACATCTGCAGTGGCTGGGAATAGGATGGCAATCCTATTTTGCTGACATGTTATCCCAATACATGTGTAGGAGTCAGTCCTYCTCAAAAASCTGTTTCCCTGAACATGTGTAGGGATTTCAAGGTTTTATTAATATGACCTCCTCTCCCCTCCTTCCAGCATGGTTTCAGTCACAGTTTTCAGACACCAGTTCTGCAAGCAAGGTACCTCTGAAGTCTCCAGCGACTGGATCTCTCTTGGTAACTCCACAGCATGCCTGTTGAAGTAGTCCATGGTAATAGCATTATTCCAATAGCTCAGATTGTTCTCTGGGTTAGATGTCTTCTTCTTCCTTCTCATGCAGCAGACTGTCAGCAGAACTGCTGTCAATAGAAACATGTCAAAAWTTTGGTTATTTCCTTTCAATAAGGACTCATCAGCACCATGGATTTCTACTTTATGTTCCTTAGGGCTGGTGACCTGTGTTCATACTCTTCAGTCCCACTCAGTCCTATCTCTCTGCTAACAAACCMTACACAATTATATCAGAATCTGGGCCAAGCAGAAGAGGCTTTGGGCCTGGCAGAATATGCAGTTTTTATTTTCTTTTTGATGTGAGTATATGATCTTCAAGGTRTGGCTGCCTGATTAATGAAAAACCATGATGTCGTAACTGACGGCATTTTAATACCTAAACAGGGATTTGCAGACCCTCTAGGAGAGAGGACATTCCTCAGTGGACATCTTTCCTGCATCTGGTGTGTTCAGAGGCTGCAGTGATGAGCACTAGCAAGTGGGCAGTCAGAGACACCTGTCCTAGCTCAAACAGCACATTCATAAATGTTTGCAGTTCTGTGTCAACACCAAAAGCTTCTGCCCTGAAGTGCCACTGCCTCTGYTGCAGGCCATTCATAACTTGGATTTTGGGTGCTTTGTGACCATRCTCCAACACATCAGCAACCAGTGAGGGGAACAGGTGGAATCCTGAGCAGGATGAGACAGTGGTAAGGTGGCGTGGAGATCTTCCATAGCTCACACACCTTACGTTTCCAGGAYAGTGTTAACCCCAGAGCTGGAGTTTTCCTGCCTGCCTCCACCAGCTGTATCAGGATGTGGGATCTACTGAAAAGGGTAACCTGTTTCCCACACTTGCCTGGGCATTGGGGAATAGCTGAGCATGCCTTTTTCCTCACCTGTGGAGCACACTTAAACTTCTACAATCTGAAATATTTSATCTTAAAGTAGAACAGTTAGGCAAGACAAATGGCCAGCAAGTGAAACTCCTGATGTAATTGTCTGTCTGGTCTCAGGGCCACAGGCACCCCTGGACCCCAGAAATGCCCAAGTAATGCTCTCCCAGAGAACAGTTGAACACAAAGCTGGCTGAGTTATTTTCTGGAATTACTTTCAGTTTATTCAACTCTGTTGCAATTCAGATGGGTAATCCTGGCAATTTTAGGAGAGACAGGCAAACCCACAGTAACAGAGTTTCTGCTCCCACTGTCCCTCACCTRGGGAGACGCTGGGGCAAGGGTTTGTTCAGGGCTGTAGTGTGTAAACTCTGTCTGCATCTCTCACATCTGTGGTATTAATTGACCAGTTGTGTTGYAATCTACCTGATTTACACAGACAGTTAGCTGCAACATGTACTTGCTTTGATTTGCACCTGTGAAATAGGGAATGYCATGCTGTAAATTCCCTCTGTCATTTCTAAGTCCCTCATGGTAGAAAAGACGAGAGAAAATATTCATGAAGCAGAAAAATATGTTATTTCCTCAGCTGCAGGTAAAATTATGTGTTAGAATTATAACTAAGAGGAAACAAAAGACTGCAGAGAGGTCACTGCTGATATGCATGTTTTGATAAACATTGCAGCTACCCATGTACCATGGGTCTAATTTCCTATCCCATCTACCACACAAAATAGCAACATAAAAATGCAAGGCTAGAGCTCTATTTAAAAAAATAATAAACTACTAAGAATAAAATTTTAAAAAAAKAATTTCAATTCAGGCAGGCAGTTTTGTCACCAATAACTTCATTTGCTGACAGCCTGACAGCCTGAGTCCTGCTGCTGCACCCCACGGGCAACCAGAATGGCTGTCCCTGCCTGGGGAAATGCATGTCCTCCTGAAGGGCTGCACCTTTCATCCCTACTTTGGCTGCTGCTCTCTCTGTCCCAGCCCAGCCTGCAGGTATGGGAAGATTAGAAACTGATGAAGAACTTGCATTTAGTCCTCACYGCTGCTGGTGAGAGCCAAAAGCCCTTGGAGCTTTTCAGCACTCCAGCAACAACTGATCCATCCCTATGRCATGGAGCATTTCTGAGGGTGCCCCAGGACATAAGATCCCAGTAAAGTGYGAATATTTTTTGAAAGCATGAGGTTTTACAGCTTATGAAATATTGGGGCTGCGGAGAGAGAAGTATTGTATTTGGGGTTTAGGGGCTAGAAAGCCAATGACACTGAGCTCTTCCAGCAGGAAATTGCCATGTGCAGATGTTTACAGCAATGATATTCCCTCCCTTAATTACACTCTTAGCCTCCAACCACAACACACACACAAGAAAACAGATAGGAGAGCTTGGAAAATGGGTTCCTGATCTTCCTCAAGTATGTATTTTAGCAGACGTATATCTATCTAAGCTGCCCCAATTCAAAACAGAGAAGACCTCATTTAAGAGGGAGAGTGAGGACAGCAGAGCTGGAATGGGGTATTCCCTCTTCATCTTATATTAACTGCCCTTTTCACGGAATCATAGAATCATTTAGGTTGGAAAAGACTTCTTTTAAGAATATTGAGTCCAACCATTAACTTAACACTGCCAGATCCACCACTAAACTGTGGCCTTGAGTGCCACATCTACCACATAATATGCCACATTTTGGGGAACATTATTGTGAAATTAATGCACCCAACATAGGGCCTCTCACTTCCAGAACAACACTAGGAGCAGGGTACAGCTTTACAAACGTTCATAGATATTTTTTTGTTCCTATGGTTAGAATTATGTGTATTACATAATCTGTCTTCCAGACAGACAACTGTGATGAGCAGAGAGGACATGTTCAGTGGATGGAATACACTGAGGTCAGAGATGGTTTGGAAGGCATAAGTGCCACTAATGACAACAGCTGAAGTAGTATCTGCAACATCAAACTTATCTTTCCTGGTGTATTACATGACAAAATCTTCTCTGGTTTTCAAGCAATCCTCTGGATGCTTTCTGGAAGTCAGAACAGCTCAACTAATTTCCCTCTGCCTGCTCCATTAAAGGCAATAATTTGAGTGCCATGAGGAGGACATTCARTGTTGTCCCTTTGTCATTCTGATGCCCCTTGTACAGAGACAGTGACACATGTTAGGTAAATATCAGAAGTCTCTGGAGGTTCAGAGATTTTGGAAGCATTTCTAACCCATATCTTTTCACATGTTCAGGGTCTGAGCTCCTGATAAGATCCAGTTCTGACACTGGACATTCTTTGGCAATAAGGCAAGTCACATSTGCATTATCTGTCCCCTCACTCATGAAACAGAACATAATACCTCCCACAAATGGGAGAAACAAGATTCTCACAGATTTACAGGTTTCTATGCTGGTGGGAACATGTTCATCACCTACTGTCACCTGCATACCACTTGCACACCACACAAGACTTTCAGCTGTTGCCTTTAAACTGTATTTAAGGTACAGAGCATCTCTTATGAAAACTCTCAGCTTTATTTAAAGATACAGAGTGATCAGATAACCATCMCATTCCCACAAAGTTTGTTTCATTGTCTAATTTCCATTGTGAGGACACGTTTACATTCCCCTTGTGTAAATACCTTCACCTTCAACAGTCACTTCCTCAACCTGCTTTTTCTTTTTTATTAAAAGCTTTCACTATGCTGTCAGAAATGTCCCCTCTATATGTGGGCTTCAGCCTCTTTTTGTACTWCATCATGGCACAAGTTGTGTTACGTTGCATTTCTCCACTCCTGAATCATTCTAATTATTTTCTAATCTTCTGATTTTTTTAAGACATAGCCCACTATGATTATACACCACATTCAATACCAGCTTCATTAATGCAGTGTAATGAGATCATAACAATTCCCTACAGTTTTCTGGCAGACTTTCCCTTCAACTCACTAAAATATTTTACCAATCTTACACAGCTGCACGCTCCCTTCCCCCACTTTCCAGCTCCCACGCAAAACACAGCGTTAACAGCCCTGAAATCATAAGCACTTAAAAGTCATGTAATATCCAGGGTGAAGGATCTTCATTTACTTCTTCCTATGCCTGCAGATCACAACATAAGCTAAGTTTCTATAGAACTCTTCCCTCGATGACCAAAATGATGATTTTTCCATATTTTTTTCAATTTCCCTRATTTCCCATAGGTAGCAGCACATCCTATATGTGATACAGGTATCGTGAYGGGTTTGGTTATTGACTACAGCTGCTTACATCTGGATTCAGGAGGCTCTCCCCAGCTCAGCCTGAGTTCACACCTGCCGATAAGCCTCAGAGCTTGGAATCTCTCTTCAGACTGAGAATCAAACACAGGTTTTGTGATGGACAAAGTGAGGGAGGTGATTTTGGTTCCAGTGCATGAAATGTGAGCTAAGTGAGGTCAGGTCCAAGGCAATTCTTCACATATTTGAGTTCTGCTGAYGCCTGTGMTSAGAGGCTCAGCCTTCCTCTCGTGTCCTCCCATGTCAGCAGAACTGAGTGCATGAATTGACTTCTGCACATCTGATTTGCAAGTTCCTGTTCTTCCACGTTTTACTGCGTCACTCTGTAATTACTGTGAAGTAAGGACCAGGAGCCCAAGGACTGGAATGGTGGGTTTTGAAATGAGCTCATGTTTGTCCTGTTCTGCATTGCAGACAGAGGCACCTACACATGTGCAACAGCATGTGCATAAAAATGTTCAAGGCTGCCTGAAGGACACTGCAAAACCAAYTCATGCAGAAAATAATGTTAATGTTAAATAAACTGTTATATATGATTTATCTTTTCTGGGAAGGGAATGATACAGAATCCTTCATTTCTGCACCCTCCTATGGCATTAGCAACATTGCCTTATTTATTTATTCCATGAAACYGAGCTGCCAAAAGGTGAAATGATTTCCCCAGGATCATGCAGCAGACGTGGCTCTTGCATTTCTTCTCGAAGCATTACTCTTCTGGCTAGCAGTTTCAGGGATTCAGTGAGACTCAAAAATCCACGCATCCCTAAAGAAATAGGTACTGTAAGGGTGGGGAGGCTAAATCCCAGCTCCCTCTTATTTAGCAGGTGAGCTCCTGAGGCAGGGGTCTTCAAGCTCATGCTACAGCCCCTGAGCTGTGCCACCAGCATGGMTGGTGACACCTGGCTGGTGACACCTGCCAGTCCTCAGTGGGGCTCAGATGTCAGGCACAGGATGCTGAACAAACACTCTGCTGCTTCCTGCCCTTTGGTGCAAATCCTCTCAGCAGGGACGGGCCAGGGAGGAACCCCAGCAGGGTCTGTCCTCCGTGAGAAGTGCAGCATCCTGAACACTTCCAGTGGGGATGAGGAGCTAAAGGCATCTGCGGTCCCTCTTTAGCAGGTCACCTCCCCTGCTATTGAAGCTCTGATGGCCACAGATTTTCATTTAACAGGTGCCTGTCACTTGAATGTGTGACAACAAACAGCATGTAGGGATCAGAGAGGGACAGAGATATCTTTGTGTCATTGAGATGTGTTTTCCCCTCCAAGGATTTTGGGTCGCATAAGCTGTGCCCAGAGGCGCTCCAAAGAAAGCTTTGCCAGCCTCCTTCTTGCAACTGCTTGCACAGAGGAGGGGTTGTACAGAAAGGGCTCCTGGCAGAGGAGAGATGCCCTGGACACTGTGCAGCTCCTCAAAGGCTCTGGAAGAGCAGCCGGGAGGTCAGCGAGCTGCTCTGCTCAGGGGCACCCCTCATTAGCAGGACAAGGGAGCTGAGTTAATTGCATTCCTGCGGCTCTGCAGCCTTGGGCRCAGGCTCTGGGCTGCCTCTCCTCWSSSCTYYCYWTSYMTKTC